GATGGGGGAGAAACACAACATAGTTGATGATTAATTACCTATCGTATCAGAAGCTGACTCAAGAGATAGAAACCTTCCAGGTAGGAAGCAAGAACGAAAAAAGTCCTATAGTCTATGCTGGTATAATTTGTGTGACACTCGTCCCAATGTTGTTATGATAATTATTATAATGAGAACAATATTTATGATCACCCTTGAGGGGTTATGTAGTGTACTTTGTGAAATGACTGTTGTTGTCTAGTATGATATCCATAGTAGTTGAGTATGTACAGTTATATGGGAATTCCATGAGCTTTTTATGTGCTTTATCCAAGTTACTACAAAATAAATCGTGAGGTTAATAATTCAATCCGGTGTAGTTACATCGACATAAGGTGATTTGGGATCAATCTTGATGATGTATGATCGATATTAAAATATTATGGTTTATTCTAACCAATTTTAGTATTGGTTATAATATTTTAAGATTTATCTTAACCTTTTTTTTTCCTGGTCATAACTTGACCCATTTAACCATAATATATAACTCAAAAAGTATAAGTTGATCCCAATGTAATTTTGGTGTGATGCCTCTTGCAGTAAGATAGTCATAGCTAGGTCTGTCAATCACGTCGTCAGATTTAACCGGGTTCGTGTCAAAAACATTATATTTATATTCGACTTGGTTATTAATTCGTGTCCAACAAATCGTATTACATTGAGTTTATGTCGTGTATTATTGATATATAAATATGTTGTGTTATATATATTTTTTTAATTAACTTCACTTATACTTGATTTATTTATTAATTGTGTTGGGTTCACTCATTTACAAAATGAATAGTATAAAAAAATTAAAATTTTTTAACTATGTGTTGTGCTAATAAATGATAAATACCCCCCCCCCCCCCCCCGTTGTAAAGGTTGGGTGCTTTTGTTCTACAGCCTCTATTTCCACTTTCCAATGCATTGTAGTTTTGAGGTTGATGGTTTGGTTTGGTTTAATCAATCTGGAATCTGCATTCAGCAGAGCAACGATGATAGAATCACAGAATGACCCTTTGGGGGTATGCTCATATGTATGTGGAGTTCAATCAAACATAAATTAATGACATTAGTTTAATTCTTTTAATGATCAAACACCATATAAGTTAAATTCATGATTATACATAATTTTTCACATATTACAATATCAAATCGACTATAACCTATTTATATATATATATATAACAAATAATTTAGAGGTAAGAGAATTTGGAATTTTTTTTTATTTTTTAATTTCTTAAAATTTAGAATATTTTAATTCAAAACCTCCTCCTAATGAAACGCTATCTTGTCATTTGTAAACCATCTCTCAACTCTCTTAATTCCTATTTTTGAAAATTTACTCAAAAAAGTTATTTTTTATTACTTAAGTTATTTTTATAATTATTTTATCTAACTTCTCAAATGAAAATTATAAAAAAAAAATTAAATTACAAAAAAAAAAAAAAGACACGAATTATAATCCTGTGCACTGTACGGGACAGACCACTAGTAACAAATAATTTAGAGGCAAGGGGTCTTGGAAAGTCTTCTTTATTTCCTAATTTCTTATAATTTTAAATTTTTTAATTCAAATCTTAAGATTCCTTCCAATCACACGTTAGAATGTGTCATTTGTAACTAACCACTATTTTTTAACAATTCAAATCTCAAAAGATAAACAAAATAATTTTTACTATTCGCAGTTAAGATCACTTTAAATTTTATTTTAAAATTAATCTAACAGCTAATGTTAACACCCTAAATTTAATAAGAAAAATAAACCCCTAAAAGTGTGTTTGAAGTGACTTTTTAAAAGTACTTCTAGAAATTATTTATCATAAATACTTTTAAAAAAAATGGTGTTTGAAACTGTCTCAGCACTACCTTCACAACCACCACTGTCACCGTTGTCATCGTCGCCGCCGTCGCCATCATCGTCGCCACTATCACTACCACCACCGCCACCATCACCATCACTATCACCACCGCCACCACCACCATTGTTGTCATCGCCACCACCAATACCACCGTTGTCGCCACCACCACCACCGCCGCTATCACTATCATCGTCGTCACCTCCGTTGCCACTTTTGCCACCACAGCCGTCGCTGTTGCCACCACCACCACCACGATTATTGTCACTCATCACAACTATCACCGTTTCTTACTACCACCATTGTCGTCCACCACCTCTCACCCCCATTACAACTGATGCTTAAATTCATTTATCTCTCCTCGATGTTTGTAATTTGATTTTGGATATGAATAAAATATGTTTATTATTTATCATTTTTTATTACTCTGTGCCTTCAGACACAGACAATAACTAGTCTATATAATAAAGTAGCTTACAATTCAAATCTCAAAAGATAAACAAAATGACTTTTGCTATTCGCGGTTGAGATCGTTTTAAATTTTAGTTTAAAGTTAATGTAATGGTTAATATTAACACCATAAATTTAATAGGAAAAATAAGCGTCTAAGAGTGTGTTTGGAGTGACTTTTTAAAAGTACTTTTAAAAATTATTTCTCATAAATACTTTAAAAAAATAGTGTTTGAAATCACCCCACCACTACCTTTACCACCACCACCACCGTCATTACCACCGTTGCCACTGCCACTGCCACCGCCGCCACCGCCCTCGTAATCATAACCGTCACTATGATTATTGCCACCCACTATAACCATCATCGTCTCCTACCACCTCTCACTTATACTATAAATTGATATTTAAATTTTTTTATCTCTTTTATATGTTTGTAATTTAATTTTGGATATAAATATAAATATATTTATTATTTATTTTTTTTTTTATTTTATATATTCAAATACGGACAATAACTAGTAAATATATAAAAGAGGAAATATAATTCAATTCCGTATGTCACACGGAGCAGAGTGCTGGTGCCTTTTGAAACACTCAAAGGCATGACAACTGTCAAAAACTTTGAAGGTCAATGAACCAACACAAAATTTATTTATGGATTTGACTAAGATACCCAAAAAAAAAAAAATCAGTATTCTACCTCTATTATCATATTTGCTATTACTTTTATCACGTTTGTGGGTCCTTTGTTACTGTTATGGTACCCAAAAAATTGTAAAATTAGTTATCATAACTGTAGTAAAAATATCCACAAATATAGAAAAAATACTCATAAATGTAGGAAAAACACCTATAAATGTGATAAACTTTTTTTGTAGTAAAGACAAGTGGTAAAAATATTTATCACAAAATATGATAAAAACACTTAAAATAATAGTGATAAAAATACTTACAAAAATAGTAAATCACTCATAAAAGTAATTTTTTAATTGTAAAATTACCCACAAAAATTATAAAAATACTCATTAAAATAATAAAAGTTAGAGATATAGTACCAAATTTATTTCTTCAGTACTGTAGTCAAGTCTTTTACATATAGAGTTCAATGTACGTAACATCTAAATATCTAGAAGTTTTCCACACGGCAAGAGCTTATCTTTAGACTGTGTTAATAGTAAATTATATTTGATATCACCCTTCAATTTGAAGAAAATTTCGCACAGACCCGGACATTTCAAGAACAGCATTGAGATCTAGTACCTCACAAGCCAAAAGTGTGAATATATCCTAAAATAAGAATAATTTATAATTTATTCTCTTACTATGCGTTTGGTACGTGATTAATGCATTTAAACAGGAATAGAATTGACATAAAAATGTAATTAGCTTGAAAATGAAATGAATCATTCTAATATTTGATAATTAATTGAGATTAAGTTTTGAAATAGAATAAACATTTCATTCCCACCTTTGGATAAAATAATTTTTATTAGAATATAATAAAATTTAATTAAAATATTTTTTTACCGTAAAATTTCAAACTTAATTTAACATTTTCTTTTTTACAATGAGTACTCCTATTAATTTTAAAAGATGAAAAATTAGAATAAATGCACAATCACATAATGAACTAACTCACCGAAAACTAATTAAAATCAATAATAGACCAAGGTAAATTTGATAATGAAATGGGAAAAAACAAGATAAATTTGGTAATACTTAATCCCATGATTTATGTAATTAGGTATTCCTCCGGAATGGGAATAAATTTTAATTCTTACCAACCAAACATAGGAATCAACATTAGTAAGGAATACGTTTTTTTTGGAGGGGAGGAGGGAGGGGGACTTGAACCCTTAACTTCAAAAAAACAAAGACTTTACAAGGTAAGAAAACGAGTACAATTAGATCAACAAACCCTTTGGTAATTAGTAAGGAATACATATTTCATTCCCAAGGTTTAATTCCAAGTACCAAATGCAAGTATGTAATTAATTTCTATTTGGTCCTGAAGTTTTAATTATAATAATTATATCTTTAAAGTTTAATCGAGTTTTAATTTAATCCTTTCATTCAGATCTATTAAGTTATTTCGACAGAAGGACGTTACAATTCTTTATCTTAAAAAAAAAAAAAAATCTCAATCTCTCTCATATACATAAATATTTCTCTCAATCTACCAACACCTTTCAAATTTTCACTCTTTATCTTTTTATTCGGGTTTGTTATTTTTTCTTCTTCAAATCAGATGAAACAAATTAAAGTTTTATAGCATATGTATGCATACCAAACAAATATATTCCTTCGCCTAAGTCGTCTATTGGTCACAAAATGTCAATTTGTTATAATAAATTAGTGAATTTGGATATATAGATTAAATTTAAACTCAACCAAAACTTTAAGAATTTGATTGTTGTAATTAAAACTTTAAGAGCCAAATAGAAACAAGTAGATCCCCTAAAATAATAGAGTAAGATCATGTTCCGTACACTTTATTTTCAGTTTCCATCTCAACACATAATCCACCGTGATTCAAGTGAGACCCGTTATACACGAGTGTGCCAAAAAAAATTTGAAGAAAAAGTCCAAAAAATAATAAAAAAAAATATATATATATATATATATAGTCAATCCACAGAACAATACTAGAAGCTGGCCTCGGCGCTGAAGCAGCCAAAGAAGACCACACATATTGCTTTCCTTCTCTCTGAAACTCCAGCTCTCAACTGGACCCAACAAAGCAACTTTGTTCATCCAATTTCTGTGTGCCCATTTGCTTTCTATTCTCTCTCTTAAATCATAAATTGTAGAGAGAGAGAGGGAGGGAGAGAGGGAGAGGAGAGAGAGAGAGAGAGAGAGAGAGAGAGAGAAATTCCCAAAAGAAGAAGACAGTTAAAAGGCCCTGTTATGGCATGCTTTGTGCCTTTTAATGATAGAAATTTAGATATAAGCTTTTTTGTGTTTAGGCCAACTGTTGTACTTGAGGATGATCTTGTGAAGGCCTTAAAACACTTCTCTTTATGCACCGAGACTCTTGGCTGTGTTCACAGTGCTGTATTTAGGAGTATTCATGGGAATATGGTAAGGACATCATAGTTTCATCTCTCTCTCTCTCTCTCCACATCTCTCTCTCTATATATAATATATATGTATATTCTAATTGGTTTCTTCTTTCTTCAGATCATATGGTATGGAGCATGGATTAAGAGGTCTAGTGAGAACAAGGAGTTACTCAATGCAGCCCTTGTAAGTTTAATACCTACTATGAATTCATTTTTATTACAGAAAAATCCTTTGTTGGGTAGGAGGAAAGAAATTACAAAAGGAATTACAAAGCCAACACCCACAAACACACCCTAAGAAGCTTGCCAATCTTTTATGTAAATCATTCTCGACATAATTTATAAATTCAACATAGCCATGGTAGACTTATCTAAATTGTGGAATCGTACCCGGTGCAAGCCCAGAGCGCGGGGCGCGAGAGAAGTAAGTGGTTCACCACAATTTGGATGACAATGTCGATCACTTATCTCTCTAAGATCTCGCTGTAGGCAGAAACATTCTGCACTCACTACAATGTCGGCCACTCACTGTTGTTGTGTTGTCTTGTAAATTATTTTTAGATCTAATTAGTTTATTAAATATGTATGCTCTGTCAGAAAAAATACTATTATAAATGGATTTTTTTTTTTTTTTTATAGGAATAGTCACTTTTTGCTTTGGCAAAATGCCGAGGCAAATGGTTATTTTTTGCGTTTGCAAGAAGTATTTGCTTTGACATTTTGCTGAAGCAAAAAGTGATTATTTGCATCGGGGTTTTTTTTACCATGCCCCCTTTGCCGAAGCAAAAAGTATTTGCTTCGGCCCCAAAGACCTTTTTCTTCGGCAAATAGCCGACGCAAAAGTCTTATTTTCTTGTAGTGACTAAATACTACCTTTTCATTATATTTTTTTGTTTCATAGGGCTAATTCATATGTCATTGTGGTATAAGATGCAATATGTCATGTAGATGTAGTATCTTTCCTCTGTTTCATGCATCCTGAAGAGCCCGTCTTTGAGCTTTTTTTACATGAGAATTGAATCTACTCTAGTTCTCATTACCCTTGAATTTTTTCTCCCAGATATCAATGTTGGCCGATGTATCAAGCATGGCTATCTTAATTGATCATAGCTTCTTTGATGCATATGGTGGAGAATCAAGAGATGGCTCACCAGCAGCAAAATTTTTCCCCGGCGACACGATTTCGATGCATTCAGGAACCATTACTGCTGATACCATGAATCAAACTGACTTCTCCTATGCATGCTTAGCCATATTCAAATCGCGTTTCGTAAAACTGGAAGGTGCATCAGCTGGAGTGTGCTTAAAATGCCGTAGTAGGCCAAGAGTGGTGACTCTTTTGGTGTGGAAATCTCTCCATTCCTGCTACTCTTGGATTCTAAATTCCGATTATCGGAACACTTTTCTTCCCTATCTTGATGGCTTCTCTGTTGATGTCAAGTATGACATTTTCAGGGTTGTTTTTGTTAGTAGTGACAATGTACTGAACTTTCAGTACTACCCTCCTCATCAGATGTTGGAAAATGTGGTAGAAAGTAAAGGAAACTAGGTTTAAAGAGAGAGAGAGAGAGAGAGAGAGAGAGCTAAAGGGTGGTGAATCAAATTGATTTGCAACAAGTTTTGTTATATGAATTAGATGTGTTATAGATAGCCCCTGAATATTTGTTCAGAATTGATTTGAATTCTATCTAAATGTTCATATTGTATACAGAAAAATAGTTTTATAGGCAAATTGTTTTTAAGTGTTTTCAATCAAACAGCTAAAAGCTTTTGTCAACAGGCTGAGTGTGTGTGTGCGCCAAAACAATTAGTATGTAACACTCGAAGAGTCTTGTCCATGGGCTTTGGGTTGGGCCATCCCACAGACTATGGCCTATGAAATTTTCTGATTTGCATCCAAAAGAATTCATATCGAATGGATACAAATTGGAACGAAATACAACACATTCAAAAGAACGTGTGGATTCGAATATGAGGGCAGTCATTTTAGATAAATAATTGTAAAGGTTATCTATTTACTTTGTCCATTATTTTCGACACGGTCGGCCTTTAATTTTGGCAAGAAGGAACATGGGCAAGTTTAGGGTTGAAAATTTACACATAAAGCTATGTAGGAGTAAGGTCGAAAACATTATAACATAATCAATTAAGTGTTAGTATGACATCTCCGGGGGAGGGGAAACCATCGGTCCAAAACTTATCCTTAGCAATTATAGAGGGCAATAAAAAAGAAGATTGTAATGAGTGTTATGTTTTATTTTAGGGAGTGTTTCTCAATCGTCTTTCATTCATTGGGATACTATCTCTCTTTGTTGGAGCTAGAATTCTCTCGATTTATTCCTGGGACTTCGTTTTTATATTTTTACAGTCTAATACAAGTGTCTGAGCTAAGCAACTTAAATCTGTTTTCATCAAGGTTAAGGTTTGGAACATTGACCAAGGTGATGATAAATAGTAAATGGCTTTCTAAGAAAGGCTTCCCTTGCCTTTTTAGCATAGTAGTAGTCTAGTTGATAATGTTGATTTTTTCACTCTTAACCATGGGAGTCAAGTATTTTGTGCATTATGCCAGAGAAATGGCCAACATTCATACGCTCTATTCATAGTCACTTTTTTGCTTTTTTGAGTCAACACTTGGACTATTTTGTGGGTTTTAATCAATTATTCACTACGGGTCGATATTCATTTACTATATGAATTTCAAGTTTTAAATCTTAAATCAAACACGTGTTTAGAAAGCATATTGAAATATTTTCAAAAAACTCATCTTTTAAGGGGCTGTTTGGTATGTGGGTTTAGGGGGGTTTTGGAACATGGGTTGAGAACTAAACCCCTTAAACTCATGTTTGATAACTATAAATTTAGTCTAGGGTTTGAAATCCAGTCCAGTCATGAAACCCATAGGAGGATGGGTTTCATATGTGGGTTTGGGGGTTTTACATTCAAATGATATTTATACCCCTGTGCATACCAAATATGAGTATAAATAGCATAATAGTCATATATCCCTACGCATACCAAACATGAGTATGAACAATATTGAATATTGAATCCTTTCTTTAAATTCCATCTTTGGTCAAATCCGAATTTGAAAAAGTCAATTCAAATCTCTCTCAAAAAAAACATATCAAACAGGCCTAAATTACATTCAAACCCACGTACCAAACATGGACTTGGGTTTTTGGTGTCATGCCTGTATGGATTTCAAAGAGGCCACCATCAAATCAATTCTTCATAAATGTCAATTTGACCCAAACCATTTTTTACTTGGGTCAATATACCATACACACTATATTCCAGCAGGCCTCTCTCTCTCTATCTCTCTCTCTCACACACACACACAATTGATGAGGTGAAGGAGATTTTTAATTGCCACCTTCAAGAAGTGCCACAACTAAATGTTGAAATCCTTCAAAGTGGTTGCAACCCTTCATTGACTTTAACTTATGGCATGAGAAGTTTGAAAAATGAAAACTTTTCAAACCTAACGTTTCAAAAAGATTGTGAACTTTCCAAGCCACACTTTCAAAGATTGGAAGAAAAGTGATGAACTAAGGACCCATGCCCTATTAGATTTGAATCATAACACCAAAGAAAGACAACAACTTAGCATTCATACCAGTGTAGGTCCCAGACATCTATCAGTTTTTTCTTCACAATTCAATTGAATCTCCCATTTCCAAATTTTCTAAGCTGACCTCAACAATCCATGTTTATGTTAATCCAACTAGGACCCACTATATTTAGTTAATTTCCCATCAATTCTCACTTTATTTAGCTATTTTCTCATTAACACAAGATGAATAATCGAATATTAAAAACAGAAAATCTATTATGCCAATTTGGTTCCACATCAAAAAAATTCGAAACAAGTCATGACTCATTTTTGCATCAAATCTAAAAAACTTGTGATGGATATAAAAAAAATTTTGGTTCGAACTTAATTCTATCTCATTGATTGTAATTTGACCAGTCTTGAGTTGCAACTTTGACCCGTTTGAGTCATACTTTAGACTAATTGATTTTTTGGTACAATATTAAAAAAAGTCGAAAATCCCTTGCAATTTTTAAACAAATCTAGTGCATAAATAGATCTTAATAACTAGAAACTCTAGGAGACTAGGAGTTGTCTACGGTACCAAAAAAATTAAATTTGGTATTATATCATCATTTATAATTTTTGTTGGTATTTTTATCATTTTTTTTATAACTTGCTATCGATTTTAATATATTGTAAAAATAACTATTAAAATTATAAACTACCCATAAAAATAATAAAAATTAGAGGTATGGTAATAATTTTTTTTTTACTGTAGATTTCTCGAGTTAAGTTTACATATTTATAGTTGGATATTTAAGATATGGCGGTCCATTATCCTATACCCACAAGCAGATTTGGTCAAAGAAGTACACTACTCAATCTTTCAAGTATGATACACACCTAGTGGTCAAACCCTGTCCAAGGACATATATGTCATGCCATTCACACCATCAGGCCATGAGCTAGAGACAATGAGAAACACACCTACCCAAAAAACAAAAAACAAAAAATAAATACCATAGTTACCCCAACATACCTCCCAATTTTAAACATTCTTTTAATTTTAAATTATCCCATTTTAGTCTTTAAATTATTTAAATCATAATAATCAGCACTTTTCATCTAATTTCCCGTTAAAACAAATTGAAGCACCACGACAATGGTTTTAATTTACCCTCAAACTTTTATTTATTTATTTTTTTGCATTAAATTTTGTTCTCATAAGAATCAGACAAATGGGTTTATGTTACGATTTACTTTGTTTAAGAATAAGAACGTGGCAATTGAAAGTTGATGGGGGTGTTTTGAATTAGAAGCATCATTGGGGGAGTTATATAAAACATTCATTCAAAAAAGAAATGTAGAAGAAGAAATGAAACACTGCATGTGAACAGGGGACCAAGCCACCATCAAGAGTCCCACCCATTGAATAATATGATAATGCAACCATGTAGAAAGAATGTTTTGGACCCATGCTTTTAGCTAAAAATTCTTTTAAGGAAGGCATTCTAGGTAGTAAAAGTTAAAGGGCCATGAAAGGTAATAGAAAAGTTTAAGGGTACCACTTGTTTTGCCTAGGGCTTTGGGCTCTAAATTAGGCTAATGGATATTGTTAATCAAAGTATTCTAGGCAGGAAAAGTGAATGATCATGAAAGGTAATAAAAAAGTTAAAGGGTACCCTCCTTAATTGCCTAGGCCTTGGGGAACTAAATTAGCTCATGGATATTGTTATCTTTTGTTTTGAGAGAGAGAGGGGGCATAGTCTAGGGTTTGGAGCCATGGACATAGAACTATATTCGTGCATTAATTTAAGTGATCCTATTGATATTCTTTTATGAAGTCATAAACACATAAACAAGTGGTGTAAAGCATGATGGTGTCAAACAAGTGAACGCCATATGTGGGGTTTACATCACATGGTGCAACCAATTTGATTATGAAACCAAATTCTAGTTTAGTTGCCATTTGGCAACGGTAGCCTTTACTTGACACCTCAATTTAAGTTCGAGTTTTAATTTTTTTTACGTAAAATTTCAGTCACACTCCTTCTAATTTATTATATTTTTAAGAACATCTCATCTATTATTTAAAATATCATTGACACTTTTTAGTTTGTATTTAAACGTAACGGACACCCCATATCATTAAACCATCATTTCTTACTAAAAATTTTTATCTAAAATATCAAAATTACCCTAAACAATCTTTTTTTATATAAAAATTTGAGCCGTTTTGAGCTCATTAAAATTTGTTTTTGTATATATTAAAATTTAAGTCGATTAAATTTATTTTTTAACGTATTAAATTCGAGCGCCGATTTGAGTTCAACTTGAGTTGTTAGCTCCAATTAACATTCGATTCGAGTCAATTAAATTTTAATTTTTTTATTTATTAAAATTTGTGTTAATTAAAATTCGATTAAAATTTATTAAAATTTATTTTTTATATATTAAAATTTGAGTGGATTAATATTTCTATTTTTTTTACATATCAAAGTTCAGGCCGATTAAAATTTAATGTGAGTTGTTTAAAATTTAATTCAAGCCAATTAAAAACGAATTTTAATCGGATCGAATCGAATTTTAATACGTTAAAAATTCATAAAACGGATGGTGTCTGGTTGAAGATATATCTATCTAAAGGGGGCGTGGATGAAGTTTTTTCTAAAATATATCATGATAAATTTAATAAAATTGTCTTTTAGTTAAAACCTTTAGTCTAATATGAGGTGTCAATGAAGATTCAAAAATAGAAAACATATCATAAAAAATATGATAAACTAAAAAATGAGTAGCCGAAATTTTTTCTTTTTTCTATTATGTTTGTCCTTGTGCACTTGTAGAATGAAATTGAAATTGTTACCAACTCTCGAAAAAAAAATTCAATTGCATTAAGTCACCATCCACATTGATTTCTATCAATACCCTTTCCATATGAAGGTCCTCATGGAGGGTCGGCTTGTTTTTCTAAGTTACATATTAAATTGAATCACACTAAAAGAGTATTTGGTGGGAAAAAAATAAGCCTAGAAACATTTTGGAAAGAGAAATTTGGATGTTTCTCTTTTGTCCATTTTCTAATCCCCACCCTCTTGTAGGTTCTACACTGAGTATTCTAACCCTAATACCATTTGGTGACAATTACTTAACAATTAGGAGGCCCAAGCAACAT